ATTTACGACTGCAGCAAACAGCAGCTACGAGCAGGAGGAAACGCGACATGGGACAGCAACGTGAATGAATGAGCATGAACCAACTTGCAAAAATCAACATGATGCAACAGCTCTACACACACACACACACACACACACACACACACACACACACACACACACTTATTCAACTGACAGTCGAGCTGTCAACTGTCGAAAGTTTATTTCAAAAACGTTGCTACAAAATGTGCAAAATATTTCGGTGCATGGGCGTGCCACCAGCGCCCAATGTCAACAAATTGCAAACAGTGGCATATAGTATTGTGCGTGCCGATGTGGCACCTGTGTGTGGCATCACTTAGCTCGGCGACGCTTTTGTGCAGTCTGCTGCAATTAGTCCCATAAAGGTCTTACTGAAGCTCTAAAACAAACAGATTTGTAAACGTCCTTTTCACAGACCATTGCAAAAAAAAAACAACTCGAGTCCCACTGGTCTAAAGACTAAGCTTAATGACAAAAAAGAGTCCAACAGAAAATACAGATTTTGATCTGTCTTTGACAAAACTAGTTGTGGATTTGTATTTTGTCAATAAGGCACACAGTTCTTAGTGTTCTCGTCGATACAAGCACTAATATCCAAACATTGTACAACCAATTAAAAGTACGCTGATATAAATAATTTAATAATAATTTAAAAAAAATCAGAAAAAGCCAGAAATATTAACCAATTAATGTTCATATATAATGCTTGAATTTTGCAGAATACAATTTAGTTATATTTAGTTGAATTTTAAATTCAGCAAATGAAGTTTTTGTAAACCTTTTAAATAGTTGTATTAGTTGGCCAGTTGCAAGCTTTATAAGTTATCCATCTAAACAATTCTAGACGTCAAGTCTTCTGGAGCAAAAATCAATGTAAAATGTACTTTAATTTCGTGGAAAAGTAAATTTCATATAAACATATAGAAATGGAACTTAATTAATTAATCTACAAGCTGTTATTAGTTAGTTAGTTAGTTATTTCTATGTGCTTTGAAAAGGAGCTGTATTTGCTATCATAGTTAAGACTCTCTTTGTGGACACTTTCGATTTAAAAAAAAGGTGTATAATCCTTGGAGTAATAATAATAATGTTACCTCAACACTTACAGAAACTCTTTGAATTGTTTATAAAGCATAAAATGTTTATTTATTTAATATTTGAGCACGATTAATTTTGTAACAATAATAAATATTAATATAACTCTCATACTCTTAACAATCCTCCAACTTTTAAATAAAGAGATAAAAATTACCCTTTTCATAGATTGAGAGCCAAATCTTTTAAATGTTTCAAAAACATTTAGTTGTAACCAAGGGTTTGACTTTATTTAACAATTCTTCGTTAAATGGTTTGTTTATCATCAATTTTATTTGGCTAAAATGAAAATAAGGTTATTCTACTTATACAAGGTGATTCCCCAAAGTAAACAGGATTTTTTTTAATGTCCCTCTCCAGATGCAGCCACATATGATGTATTTTTAATACAATCCTAAAACCAAGCGACAACAGTGAAGACAATACGGACTTACTTCCACTATGAAGTAAGCAATTATTTATCGGAAATTCGTTCCATCTGGCCAAACGGATAATATTGTGTCTGTGGTGGTGTTTTCAAGCATTTGGTCATCATAAAAAAATAAGTTAACGCTCAACCACCCCCGATATTCGCCGGATTTTGCTCAGTGTGAAAACTGCCTTTTCGGAAAATTACATTTTCCCATGAAAGAAAAGGAACTTCACAACACACGCTAGAAATGCTTCTTGATCGTGTCAGATGAATTTTTGAATTAAATACTATATTTTTAAAAGAGTACTTTTTACTTTTTACTTTTTACTGCTTTTTCAAAACTGGCTTTAAGCGTTAGCCCAGCACTGTTATCAACAAATAACAACAAATTTCCTTTTGTATATTGGCATATCTAAATGAGAGCAATATTGGATATTAAAGACTTGACCAACTAAATAATAGTTGTATCATGCCCTTTAATAATCGAGAATTGAGATGAACGAAGCTTTGATTTGAAAGTTAAAGTTATTTATCTGAATCACTATAAGCAATATTATGCGAGTATGTTTGCGTAAACACGCCTGGGAGTGTTCAAAAGCGATTGCCTGCCCCTGTGTATGGTTTCTGTTTCCAAAGCTGTCAATGCTGCCAGGCACTTGGTCCACATACCTCTTGGATTTTATTGATTCAACCGGCCAAGGACAATACGATAAGCTACTCTGCTGCCCAACTACTCGTTTACCTTAAATTTTAATTTACTAGCTGGCACATCCTTTGGCATAGCTTGGGCCATGGCCGGCATATTCATTTGCATTTACTCTTGAACTGTGTGGGCGAGGAAGCGGGCTAGAGAGTCCTTTAAAATATTCATAGACACTTAATAATAACAGCACCCCGAAGTGTGCACAACCAGTTGATCATGACGATGGAAGCATGAGAATGGGAATGAGCATAGGAATGGGCTTGAAGGCCAGTTGGCTATGGTTTTTGGCTCTTGCTTTGGCTCTGACTGACTCTGGCCCTGGTTCTGCTCTGTCCATCGCCCAATGGGCCATTTGCGATTCGGCTATTCGGCTATTTGGACATTTGGCCAGTTGGCCATTTGCTATTTGCACTTTTGGCTGGAAAAACTTTGGCACGAAGATAAAGTCAAATTAGCTGTGTGTTTGTTTGTCTTCGAATGCAAGAAGAAAGCGATTAAGTGAAAACTTTGCTTGCTTTCTGCGCTTTGTGTGCACTTTATTTTATTTCGGTTGTTGCACTCGCCTCCACCACCTCCTCTCTTTGCTCCTGGCTCACCGTTCTCCCCGCAGTGTCCAATTTTTTTATGCGCAAATGTTTTCTACTCGATTTGGCGCTGCGGGCAAATTGTATTTGCATTCGGGCGTGCGCAACTAAGCGGCGGCAGCGGCTGCCAAAGTTTTTGGACCGGATACGAAAACAAAAAAAAATGTGCAACCCACACACGGACAAAAAAGTTGCAAGGTCGTCGGAGCAACGTCAGATTCATGATCCTACACTGATAGAAAATATCGTTATTTGTAAACAAATATGAAGCTGGAAACCGAAAAGAAAACATGTAGCCAGTCAGAGTATTTCTTTCGTACAACGACATCAGCCACGATGCTGCTTAGATAAGAACATTATGTGCATAATTTTATAATAATACATATCTCTTTATAATAATTGGCATGCGTCTCTTAATAGATGAGAAAGGGAAGCATAGTGTATTGGGTCTATTTATCAATGTTTATTTATTTGTTTCGAGTAATAAATTGCACTAATATTGAATGTTTTCAATGTTTGCTTGTAGTGGGGTGTTGGATTTATTTCTTCAGATCAAAATATGATGGGGGCAAAATACTAGCTTAAGAATTTAAAAGAAATCTTCGATTCCGAACATCTGAAAGCGAAAATCCAGAACCCCAAGCATTTATAAATGGGGGCGATTGTTAGAAATGGGTAAACAGTCGACTTTAACTTTTTAATGTAACTATCTTATTACAAAAAGGACTAAACTATTTTGGGAATACATTTGCAAATAATGAACAGGATTTTTCCAATGAATACAATTTTTGGACTCTTCAAATAGTAAGTAAAATCGCCCTTCTCAGCTTTTGTGCTGAATGATACCTTCTATGAATTACAGGTTCGCAATGAATAGTTAGAGAATACATTGGCTATTGTAAGTTATTGTTAATATCAGCTACTATAACGATTTTACTTTTCCTGCTTCTTTCTGGCAATGTGATAAATAATTCGGTTTTTAAATAAAGCATTCCCAAATTACGAATAAGTGATGTATTGAGCGCGCCTCAAAACTTTTCTATAGTGCTGTGAAATGAAGAATTGAATTCAATAAGCTGCGCTCTCTAAATTGTCTGTAATGTATTTATCTTCTTCAACTGGTAATATTAGTTTGGAGTGCGTATTTTCTATCAGTGTAGGGTCGAAAATAAAAACCTTTGTTTTGGAACGTCTCGTTGCCGTTGACGCCTTTAAGCAGTCATTAAAGCTGACTTATTAGTATAGATATACTTACATATATATATGCATAAAAAAGCAGACAGACAGACAGACAGACAGAAGCAATGCGTGCGTTCAATGTTAAATGTCGATGTCCTCATCGTCTTTCTCATCGCCGTCGCCGTCGCCATCGCCATCACCATCGTTGTCGTTGGGCCGCCCCGCTGCCGGAAATGGCGATAACGCCAAAGAGGAAATGAACACTTTTTGGGCAATGGCGCGAGTGCAAACGTAAAGTTACTATAAATACAGTTACCACGGCCAGCAGCAGCAGCAACGACAACAACAAGAACAACAACAACATAGTCCTGACGACCTTCTGCCAGTTTTCGGTTATCTGGCGTGGCATTTTGCGTAGCTTGGCGCTGCCTCTGCCTCTGACGCTGCTGCTGTGTAAATTGTATTGAGGTCGAATTGAAAATGTGGCCAAGTGAGGCAGCCAGCAGCAGCGCCAACACCACCACCAGCAGTAGCAGTAGCAGCAGCAACAACAACAACAATAACGACAAATTTACAAAAATTAAAAGCATTTTATGCGCAAATGGCGCGCATTTAAAACGAAATATGGTAACACGCGATTTGGCCGCCGCCACGCAATGCCACTCCATGCCGCCTCTCTACACGGACAAACACACACACACACACACACACGCACACATCCCCTGCACATCCCCCTATTCCGACCTCGACATTGCGTATAATTTATGTGGCATTTAATGAAAACGGAATTGAAATTTAGTGAGTGAATTTATTAAATGATTTTAAATTGATGCGTCGAGTTGGCTGCTGCTGCTGCTGGCAGAGGCTGCGACCGCACGCCAAACGGCACCTCTGCCCTCAACACCCCCGCACGTTACTGCTTAAATTTAATTTAACCCACTACAGCCTCCCCCAACCCCCACCACCCACCAATCCAGCAATTAGGAAAACATAAACCAGTCCACAGTTATCGGTAACTCATCAGCTGCGCTGCTTAGCAGTGTGCTCTGACGCCTCGTTTATTGGATGTTGAGGGTTAAGAGCACGTTTGTACTTGTAATTGGGATTTTGTGAATAGTGGTATTATCTTCGCAAATGAAGAATTTGTCATTGTATCGGTGTATGTATGTATGTGTGTGTGTGTGCGTATTCTTAAATCACTCTCCCTCTCTCTTTCTCTGTCTCTCTCTCTCTCTCTGTCTCTATCCTTGTGTGGCTTGCGACTTGTCAATGGCTGCATAGTTGTTGTAACTTAAAAGGGTGCCATCACCTCGAAGCCATTAAACTCCTTGGCCAGTCGGACAGCAACCAGAAACATGACCCAGCTCTTCACGCCGGACCAACAAAAGTGATTCTTGTAGACGAATCGCATCACCTGAGCTGCGTGACGCAAGTTGCGACCCATCCTGCTGCTGCCAAACAACCTGCCTGCAACGGGAAGATTGAAGTAGTACTCCAAGAAACCGCACATAATACTCACCAATGGGTTATTTTTACACAAAAATGTTTTCTTACAAATCGAACGTTTGCGACGACAGCAAACAAGTTTCGTTTTCCTTCAATCTATGTACACACGAAAATACAATTGTCAACTTCAATTTCGGCAAGACGCTAGTTACAGTGCTGTATAACATTCGTTTGTATAGCAGTGCTGTGAAACGATGCATTCAACCATTTCTTCAAAAATACTTGTACAATAAGTGTCGCTCGTTTCGTTTCGATAAAGTTACACTTATTTTTCTCCAATTAGTATTATGGTGGGATCAGGAGCAGCATGCTTTAAAAAATTGGCTAAAATTGAAAACTTATGTATACTGGAGTGTGTTTCGATTATTTGATGGAATCAAGCTAATAGGGCTGCCAGCATACTTGTTTTTCTTACAAGGAAAAAGATATCTCGATAAAAACAATTCAATATTATTTGTCCACTACTGAAAACGGTCGTCCAATAGCAATTTAATAATTTTCACGAATATCACTTTTAAGTGTGCAATAAATGTGAAAACCATCACTGCACTCTTCGACTTTTTAATTCAATGCCCGTTTTTATTGTCAATTAAAAGAGATATCGTAAAAAAGACAACACAAAGTATTGGTCGTGTGATTGAATTTAGTTCTGCGCTATGATTGCATTTATTGTAACATCAGCAGTCGAGTAAGTCTACTGAAATCTGTTTCTAATTATTTCTTGTATCCCAAAATCAGGCCCCACAAATTTAAATAATGGACAGATATAGCTGTATTATTAAGTCAATATCTGCATATAAAAAAAAAAAACGGTTTCTTATGCTATATATCCATATGTTTAAAAAAATGCAATCTTCGAATATAGAGCAACATATTGTTTCTTTTTCTCGTGTAGGTCCCTTCTTTATCTTCCAAGTATATTCTAAATTTTAACTGAAGACGTTGAATGGCATTTATATTTGAAAAACTACTGAAACACAGTTGCTTTGAAACTTGGAGACTTGGAGATGCATTCTCGGCTTAATATGTGAGTTTTGAATGTAACTATGAAAGCACTAGAGAGAGCTCAGGTTGTGGCAACATAGGCAGGATCTGCTTGAATCCATTTCCACGCACATACACACACACATACAGATGCGGAACCGCAGGAGTGAATAATGTGAATCCGAAAAGGTTCGCGGGGTATTGGCTTTTTGCGTTAGCGTCATAATCCAAATGCAAATGCAAAGTCCATTCGAAACTAGCGGTCATTCTAATTACGCGCACCTAATTAAACTTAATTCATCAGCCATTGCGGCAACAACAGCAGCCGTCACAGCGGAAACGGAAGCGAACGGAGAACGGGGAACGGAGAACGGGACCTCAAAATGGCAACAGGGACTAAAAGACGAAAATGGCACATTAATTTAATTTGAAGCGAATGCGAGTGTGCATCATTAGTACGCACAATCAATGGCAATATTGTTGCATTGGACTGCAATCTGAGGACACTGTGGTGGAGTCTACAACGTGCTGCACGCAGCATGCAGCATGCACCATGTAGCATGCAGCAGGCAGCATACAGTCTGTGTAGTGTGTACTTGTATAACCTGAATCCAGCAGCCGCCGCACTGAATCAACGATAAGCGGCTGTCCCATTGGTTGCCAATGTTCAGCCGGCCGCAAAAGTAAACTTGTTGGTCAATATTAACGGCAAATACAACAACAACAACAACAACAACAACAACAACAATTTCACTTTCGCAACAGCATGACAGTTGTTGTTGCTGTTGTTTGTGTTTGATTTCATTTTCGGTCACATTTGTATTTTTCCCGCCCAGAGCTGCAATTAAATTGTATAATTTTACAAAATTAACAAACAACGCGGATCTGTTTACAAACAGTTAACATGTGTACGCATTTGTGGAAGTGTGAATGCAAATGTGGATTGTGGGTGTGTGTGTGTGTGTGTGTGTATGTGTGTGTGTGTGTGTTTGCTTCGGTCTGGGTGGACCATTTGTTGGTTGTTGGTTGTTGGTTACTGGCCAGCGGTCGTCGGTTCATCGGTGAACACTTTTCATATATTAATCATAATATTATTTCAGTGCATTTCAAATGGGATTATTTTTAAAAATTAATTTTGAAATATGTGAACGATGGCGCAGACATGGAGTGGGAAAAAGACTCTTTTATCAAGTTCAGTTCATATGTATGTGGCCAGTCTGTCATCAAAGATATATAAATTTATATGAGTATGTATAGTATGGTGTATGGATGGGTCTGTACATAACTGTTTCTCTTCCTTTAGGTTTATGGGTAAATAAGAAAATTGTTGTAATACAAATTACAAGATAGACTAGAAGGCAAGGTTTTCACCTCATTATAAGTATCTTCAAGTTTATATTTTCTAATCGGTTAGACAATAGTTTATATTTTCTGTTACTGTTTCTCTTCCTATAAGTTTATGGGTAAATAAGAAAATTGTTGTAATACAAATTACAAGATAGACTAGAAGGCAAGGTTTTCACCTCATTATAAGTATCTTCAAGTTTATATTTTCTAATCGGTTAGACAATAGTTTATATTTTCTGTTACTGTTACTGTTTCTCTTTCTATAGGTTTATGGGTAAATAAGAAAATTGTTGTAATACAAATTACAAGATAGACTAGAAGGCAAGGTTTTCACCTCATTATAAGTATCTTCAAGTTTATATTTTCTAATCGGTTAGACAATAGTTTATATTTTCTGTTACTGTTTCTCTTCCTATAGGTTTATGGGTAAATAAGAAAATTGTTGTAATACAAATTACAAGATAGACTAGAAGGAAAGGTTTTCACCTCAGTATAAGTATCTTCAAGTTTATATTTTCTAATCGGTTAGACAATAGTTTATATTTTCTGTTACTGTTTCTCTTCCTATAGGTTTATGGGTAAATAAGAAAATTGTTGTAATACAAATTACAAGATAGACTAGAAGGCAAGGTTTTCACCTCATTATAAGTATCTTCAAGTTTATATTTTCTAATCGGTTAGACAATAGTTTATATTTTCTGTTACTGTTTCTCTTCCTATAGGTTTATGGGTAAATAAGAAAATTGTTGTAATACAAATTACAAGATAGACTAGAAGGAAAGGTTTTCACCTCAGTATAAGTATCTTCAAGTTTATATTTTCTAATCGGTTAGACAATAGTTTATATTTTCTGTTACTGTTTCTCTTCCTATAGGTTTATGGGTAAAAAAGAAAATTGTTGTAATACAAATTACAAGATAGACTAGAAGGAAAGGTTTTCACCTCATTATAAGTATCTTCAAGTTTATATTTTCTAATCGGTTAGTCAATAGTCTTAAAATAAAATTCTTAAGCTAATTCGCGAATAAAATTGTTTGGTAATAAAATTGTCCTAGGTGGCCCAAATTTTTGTAACCAGTGAAGTTCTTAGTATCTACAATTGAAATACCATTCTTCGTGGAGGCGTTTTCTTTAAAAAAAAATCTGAGGAAGTAAAACGTTGGAGTCGCGCTTGTTCTGCATATGGAAAAGACAAGTCTAATATAATGCTCCAAAATATTAGCCCTAGATGTTCTTTCTCAAAAGTTCCAATCGTCACTTTTCTGTTTATACCCTTTCAACTCCTGGGTACAGGCTTTTATTGAGAGCGACTCCTCGGTACTGAGTATACAAAATGATTGAGTAATCAGTGTATGGTTGTTAGATTGATTTTAGAATCTATTTTGGGGATGAACAGTGAATGGCTCTCGATGCCTTTTAAATAAACTTCTTGTTCCCAATTTGACAAAACATTGGCAAAAGATGGACACGGGGTGGACTGGGATCGAATATTTTATTTCGCGCGCCTCTCTACCATAAATATTTTCGGATGGCCCTAAAAGTGTAATGCGGCCGAAGGAACAGGCCGGCGTTGCAGGTGTCGTCATGGCACTCGGGATCGGTGGGAAAGATGTCGGTGGATGCTTGGTGAGTTATTAAAAACTATGCACAATTTATTTTCATTTTGCAATTCCGTTTGCTGCACTTTTTCCCAAACTTACATACTCGTATAGTGTCTGCCTCTTGCCTTTGTCGCTCTGCATACTTACTCGTACATATATATTTGTGTTTGTATTTGTATTTGCTTTTATTATTGTGTTGGCATTTGTTGGTGAGCCTTTTATTCCTTTCGTTGCTGCTGTTGTTGTTGCTGTTTGTGTGCCATTTTTGCTGTGCACTGAATGAGAATGGCGACAACAGCAACAATAATGACGACCCAGTTTTGGGTGAGCGCGGCATGCCTAAATATGTTTTATAGTAGTTTGCCGAATGAAAGCCTTTCTTGTTGCTGTTGTTATTGCTTCTATTTTTGTTGCTGCATCGAGTGTGTCCATATGGGTGTCTCTCTCTCTCTCTCTCTCTCTCTGTGTGTGTGTGTGTGTCTATCTATGTGATGTAACAACAATTTAATGCAACAATTTTTATTTTCCTTTGCCTTTTTATATGTCATTCAAAGGTTCAGTTGACGTGCAGTTGCTGCGCTGTTTTCTAATGGCAGACCACCACACCACTTACACTTGCACACTCACACACACACACACACACACTTTTATTCAGGGGGCAGCAGGCAGGCATTCATTATTGCTGCTGCTGCACACCATTGTGGCACTTATTAAAATTTTTCTGGTTTTTTCTGCTCGCACCCTGCTTAGTGGGCCAGGATGGGGCTGGGGGGAGCTGAACCGCCTTTGCCTTTGTCTGTCATTCTGTCTCTCTGTCTGCCTGTCTGTCTGACTTGCATGCCTGCCAGCCACTGCCTTCAGTCCACCGTCGCCGCTTCAACCAAGCAACCGAAGACCCAACCTCAGCAATGGCGGCACTTTCCTTTCCATCCCAGCAACACCGCTCTGCCCGCCACAGCTCTGCTCAGCTCAGTTTCGCTTGGCAGAGCAGAGCAGAGCCGAGCCGAGCAGGACGGGGCAGGTTGGGAGGCACACAGCGAGAACTGGCTTTTGTTTATTTATCTTTTCGCTCGGTTTCGAATAACAAATCCTTTTGGCTTTACACATATTATGCGCTACTCCTTTGTGCAATGTGGTAGCTGCAGTTGTAACTGCAGTTCT